TTATGGTGTGGGCAATTTGTAGTTTTACGTGAAATATACAATGAAAATTGCAGTATTTCAACGACGTTTTACAGCGTCGTATTTAGAATCGCTCTGTCATTCGCACAGGTGGCTAAAGTATTTTACGCCAAGGAGGAACTCGAAGAACAAAGGAAATTGTTTGAGAGCCTGTTAACAGTGTGTTCAATGGGAGCAATCAAAATTTTATTTGACTGATTCGACGAAAATATACTGAAATGGAAGAAGATGCTGCTAGAAAAAATGAAGAATACACCTTCTCTCCATTTACGTGGAGTATCCGTTCCACGTGGATTCATTTTACGCGAATGAAAATCGCCTAAATAGAGTCTGTCAGCGCGAAGAAAACGAAATATTGAAAACAAACACCGGAAAATGTTAAAATGTTAAAATGTTATTTTGGTGACAGTCTCCTCAATTATAATATTTTCTTCAATCAAATAAATCTTCTATATAAAATATTAGAAAAATGAAACTGACACGAGTCATTGAGTTCCTAAGTATAATATTGTAGTTTATAACTCCTAATAACGATATCTATAGGACTAATTTCATTTTCATTATGTAAAATATAGGATTACGGCCGTCACATATTTGTGATGCTGGTAGCGAACGTGTTAACAAACAAATAATAATAGTAATGACATTTCAAAAAGAAACGTAAATTTTATTCGGTGTCAGTAAATTCAAATCCTGTACAAACAATACCGAGTGTACATAAAGAAGGCTGATCGAAAGTTGTACTCGTCCTTTTAATTAGAATCTCTGCGCCCTGAAGGATGTTCGATGCGAAGGTCGACAGTATGCCGGGTCCCTTTTTCTGGCCGCTTTCACGAGACATGACAATGACTGTCTCTCGGTGAATCGCTGCAGCAGCAGCGCAGGCCATGGCGCGAAACGCCGGTGTCAGAGTTGTAAATCCGTTTCCCGTCGATCTCGACGTCAGGGCCGAGGTCAACCAGCAGCAGGACGTACCCAACTCGGTGACTTTCTACTTTCTGCGTTTATTCACTGGCGGGATCAATGCCAGCAGATTCTATGCCTCGAAGAAGATCGCCGGCGATCGTGGTAAAATTCGCTTCGTTAGCTGGCCACCAGCAATCTTTCTTTGCGTGCGCGTTTGTTCTCCACTGCTCGCCCGGGATATAATTATAAGTAGACAGCGGATGTTTATGCATTTATAGCACGTATTAACCTGCAAATTGCGGTCGAATCTGTGGTTAGGGCGAAACCGCGCCAATCACATTTTCAAAAAAGTCGATTTTACGCTTGAATTAAGATGCTATGGGTAACATTTATGTATTTGGAAGAATGAAAATGCGTTGAAGAGGTTTTCTTTTCTTTTAATAGATAGTAATATTGAAGATGTGGTAAATTGTCTGTTGTACGGAAGGTGTTATTATAGCAGGCGTAATTCGTCTACGATACGTTTAAGTTAATTCGTATAATTTCGACCGGCATTTATTTGTTTGCTTATAGTAATGAAAATTGAATGAACAGTTGAAATCACTTTTCGATATTCACTGTATGAATTCGTAAATTGCTAAGTGTCTAAACTGTTAAATGGCATCATCTTTTTTTATTTCTATGTTGAACACGGATGAACGAAAATGTTACATGGCAATTTATTTTCAATTATTTCCACATAACTGCTACCTCTGTGATATTTATATACTGAAAGTTTGAAGCGTGAATATATCCTCCGCCTAAAACGGGAATTTAAATCACAAAGAAACACGCCAACCCTAAAATTGTACACCAGGGTCATTTTTATCCGCGAGGGTCTCTTCCCCTATGTAATTCTTGGGTCAATAAACGATTTCAGTTTTTCCCGTGTCATGGAAAATTTCAAAGAAAGTTGCACTCTCTTTGCCAAACGTTGCTTCGCCTATTGTCGTTCAGGTAGCTCCGAAAGCTTTCTTTGTCCCATTGGTAACCCCGCAACGTTACTGTTCTATTGTAAAAAATTGTTATGTTCCTAGTTTTGCGAACAATACTCTTCAGTGTAGTAAAATTAGTTTAATTTGACAATTGTTTGTATAGTTTACAATCTATATTTTTCGAAATAACAAATCTGATTATCAGGATCCGTAGATCTTAAATAGCATATAATAAATGCACATACCGATGAGTACATTTTGTAAAAAATTTAACACTAGAACTACCGAGTACTTAAACTGACTTTTGAAAATTTCTTCATACCAGAAATGTGTAGGTATTATCATTTCAATTGGCTTATATATCAATTTAAACATTACTAAATCAGTTTCCGCAACAATTTCTGAAACAAGTATCTATGCCTTTTCAATAATTATAAAAGAAGAAATTTGGAATGGATCACTTTGACCTATCTGATAGTTCTAGTATTAATCTCGCATATAGAAAGTAAGAATCGCAAAGAGTTACGAAACAATCAAGCTCCATGAATTTCAATTCACCTAAATACCTGAAAAGTAAACCTAATCAAAAACTCCCTTTACGTCACCTACGCAACTACCAAATCCGTCATTACGATTATTATACATCCCAAAACGAAACTGGCGCGAAATCTTCGGGACAGCACTCCCGCAGTCTTTCTTTATTAGAAGCTACAAGCCAGTCGCCTTGACTGTCCGGCAGCCTGAGCGTTAAATGCATCGTAAACATCGCAGAAAAAGCTGTCCGAAGATAAGCGACACCGGAGAAAGAGAGAAAGAGGGACGCCGGTTTGCGTCGCAGGTTCAGGATCAGGCCGGCAGCAGGGGAGACATTTTTAAATTCCCCAAACACTCGTACGCTAGGAACATCTAGCTCGGTCTGCATTCCGAACGGGAATACGTGCAGCCGAAAACGCGCAGCCAGTGACGCGCGCCAAGGGGGTTTCTCGCGGCGGATCTTTCGAGAGGAGTTTCCCGTTGGATGAAAGCGTCGGGCTCTCGCGTCCGACCGCTCCACGGATCGGGCCGTGTCGGTGGTCGGTCGCCGCCGGGACGAGCAACCTCCACTCCGTACCCTTGAACCTAACAGACGCTCGCAACGTTGCCGCCTCGTGCTACAACGCTATAACGCCGTGTCGTCCGGTTTAACTCGGCTCGGCTCGGCGGAGCTCGGCTCCCGTCGCGCGTTCGCTTCCTTCGCAAGAATTCCGCGTCCGGCGTCGACGTTGGTGGCTGGCGCGACGCCAAGTGTGCTGACGTCACGGGTCGGCGTTACGCATAGCGTTACGTAAAAAACGTGCTGCTGAACTCCTTCGACGAGGAACATGTCCGCGGTGTATACAACCGACGTAGAAAAGAAAAGCCTGAGCGAAAAATTTGTAACGTTCGCGGTCGGGCCGCGTACGTCAAGGCCGATAAACGTTTCGTAACGTTTCAGGGAAGAAATAGGAGAAACACGCGTGCACGGACGCGTATCCACACATGTATGTAGCGGCTCTCTGTTATGATACTGTTACTCGTTCGTATGGTTATGTGACGTCGCCGTGCGTTAGTAGTTTTTTCTTTCGCCGTACATTGGCCTTGTCGTTCTGGATCTGGGTTACGCTCGGCCCATGCTTTCTCCGGTGAGATTTCTGTGTCTGTCTGTCTGCCCGCCGGCGACGACACCGACGACCGTGCATCCCGGACGCACTCGTCGGGTAGTCTGACGTCACGGTCGCGCCGGTGTTACGTAAAAATGGAATAGAAAAAAAAATACCGTATCTCTGGTATCCGATTAAACCGAGCTGTAATCTCTACGGCGCGAACTTAATCTCTGTAACGAGAACCGTCTTGCTGGTGACGATGGTTCGCGTTGCTTATACGCGCAATCGCGCAATGGAGGTTATGAATTCTTTCCTTTCTTCTTTTTTTTAGTCGCGGCGCATTAGCGTCGCGTTCACGATCATCCTGGATCTGGGTTGGTGTTCGAGTACGCTTTCTCCACAGGAATTTCATGTCCGCCGACGATC